CACACACACACACACACACACACACACACACACACACACGGTACAGGTTAACCCGAGATCACACACACGTGTTCCTGAAGCTGCTGGTGACCCGCGCACACGGAGCTCACACATGCAGGAACATGACCCACCTCTGAGACTGCAGAGCGGGACGCTCGTCCCTGCTCACTCTGCTCACTCTGCACACACAGAAGTGTGAGATGCTCTGAGATAGGCGATGTTGTGACTCTAAAGCAGAGATACAGAGCTGAGGAGGACAGCACTGAGGTGAGGATCATGTGACCGTGAAGCAGCTGTGAAGCCTCAACTCAGAGAGAGGAGGAGCCTGGACAGGTATGGACAGGTACGGCTCACATTTGTTGTGCTGATACAACCCTGCATGGCTCAGGATCCGGGAGCAGTCCTCCCCCTCATCCAACATCAGCCTGGTCATCGCACCTGGGCGGCAGTGCTCACTCAATTCATGTCACACACGCAAACACTCGTGTTTGTTTGTTTCCGGTCTCGTGCTTCCCGAGTGTGTCCAGGGAGATGACGAAACCCAATCAAACGCGTTAAACTGTGACGTCATTGCAGGTTACGTACAGCGAATATCGGTTTGGGTGCAATTTAGAGTGAATGAAAGGAGCACGCGCAGCATCAGCATGGCGGGCTTCGATCAGCTGATCGATAATCAATGCTGTTTGTTCTGTTTGTTCTGCTCGGCACGCCGGCCCGGGCAGGCGGAGCCGCCTCTGTGTCCTCCTGGCTCGTTATCTAATCAGAGTCGAACAAAACAAAGCCAGCCAGGTGTGTGGTCACCTTTGGGCCCAGTCTCTGACAGACCCCCCCGGGTGGTCAGCCTCCCCTCGCCCCGGTGACCCCGCACGCCTCCTCCGCAGTGTTTACAGGCTGTCGGGGGCAGAGCTAACAAGCTAACATGCTAACAAACAAGCTGGCAGGTGAAGCGGCACGAGCCGTCACCTCTGAGATCAGGTGACAACCTCTCAGCCTCGCCGCAGTGAGCCGCAGTGAGAGCCGTTAACCGCAGCTTTAAACCCGGCGGCAGCACCCAGGTAACCGCGCTAACCCTGCTAACATGCTAAGAGCAGCTTACCGGGCTCAGACCCGAACCGTCCGGTACAAAAACGCCTCTGCCGGCGGGCTCGGTCCCCGGATTCACTGCGACTGCCTGTCTGCGCCGGTACTCTCCGCTCGGAGAGCCCGGTAAAGGCAGCGGAACCCCGACACGGTGCCGATTTCTGAGTTCGATGTTTGTCACAACACCGGCCTGACGGTGTCCCAGCCTACCCGCAGCCTCAAACCCGACTTCCCCAAAGCACTCCGGACTAAGCCACCGCCCGCGGCCCGCTATACACGGCCCGCCGCCGGGCCGGGTCCCGGTGCGGTTCACTCACCGGCCCTGGTGGTGTCGGTCAGGTCGTGGTTGGCGGCGCACCGGGGGAACTCCTTCAGCTTCCTGCCGCTCAGGTTCAAGCTCCCGGTGGCCGCGGCTTCGTCCAGCGCTCGGTCCAGAGAACGGTTCCAGGGCGCCGGGCCCAGTCCGTTACTATTCCCGGTGCCGCCGCCCCCGATGGTGAAGCTGAGTCCGGCGCTGTCCGCAGAGCCCAACAACACCGAGGCCGCCATTACACGCTCCGGCTGTTAGCTCGGTGCTAACGGCTAACTCCCACCCTAAAGTCCAGGCCGGAGCATGCGCATTGCGGCGCTGGACAACAAGACGAAGCGAGCAATGCTGTAGTATTACTCCAGTACTACTACTTTAGTACTGCTATAGTGCAGCTCCAATACTACTGTAGTATTATTAGTACTGCTGTAATACTGTCATCTATACACTATACCACTATAATTTAGTACTAGTGTAATACTACTAGTCAAACTGCAATACTACAGTACTATTAGATAAGATATGTTACTCTTTATTGTCATTGCACAGTCATACATAGTACAGTAGTGCAATGAAGTTGGAAAACTGTCCTACGTCGGCACTACATGTAACACAACACGATACAATACATAATAAAAAGAAGAAGAAGTGTATGTGTATTGCACACTGTTATTATTGCA